GACAATCATCGGCTTTTCAAATTCAACAAGATCTTTGGTCCCACAGTAACACAAGGTTCTGGTTATTGTACTTTACCGGACATTGAATACTGATATTTTAATAGCATAAATTTCTAATTTTTTTGCAATTAATCATCTCCCCACCCCCCCCTCCTTGTATTGTCTTGTCTCCAGAGGAGGTATTTCGAGACACTCAACCATTAATCAGGTCTGTCCTTGATGGATATAATGTCTGCATCTTTGCTTATGGTCAGACTGGCTCCGGAAAAAGTTACACTATGGTAAGCTTGTACTCTTTAAATCAGTTGAAAAGATATATTGGCTTGTTGGGTTTGTATCTCATGTTATTGAAAAATGTTCCAGACTGGCCCAAATGTAACATCTGTGGCTGATTGGGGTGTTAACTATAGAGCTTTGAATGATCTTTTCAACATCTCTCAGAACAGAAAAGGCTCCATTTTGTATGAAGTTGGTGTTCAAATGGTTGAAATATACAACGAACAAGTACGCGACTTACTCAGCAACGATAGTTCTCAGAAGAGATATCCTTCCAATTTTTTTCTTGTATTGCATATTTAATTGACCATTGCATTCCCTTGTCCATGTAATTCTTTTACAATGTTTTCTCTTATCAAAGAAATCCTTTAGTTTCGTAGGTCTCAATTTGGCAGGGAAACACCTTTGGCTACTTCCTTTAAGAGCTCTTATAAACGGACAATGCACTTTCAAAAAATTATTCAAACGGGTCCAAAAGCAGCTTCAAAAGTAGCTTTTGGATTTTCAAAAGCCCAGCCAAATGGGGCCTTAAACTCATTATATTGTGAAGCACCTTGCTGCCTCGCCCCATTTCATACTCCATGCATTTCTTTCTTCTTGTTTTCCTTTGACTTGCACACTCTTGGGATATGGAATACTGCCCAACCAAATGGGTTGGCTGTCCCTGATGCTAGAATGCACCCTGTTAATTCAACTGCAGATGTGTTAGAGTTAATGAATATAGGACTAATGAACAGGGCTGTTGGCGCTACTGCCCTAAATGAAAGAAGCAGCCGGTCCCACAGGTTGGTGATACTTGTGTTTATTTCCTATTCTCGACATTTTCTTGGTGGGCTTGATTTTGATTTGACCTCGTGTGAGACAGTATCCTCACTGTTCACGTTCGTGGTGTGGATTTGGAGACCAATGCTGTTTTGCGTGGTTGTCTACATTTGGTAGATCTTGCTGGCAGTGAAAGAGTAGACCGTTCTGAAGCAACAGGGGATAGATTGCGAGAAGCGCAGCATATAAACAAGTCTCTATCTGCTCTTGGAGATGTGATCTTTGCTCTGGCACAAAAAAGTGCCCACGTGCCTTACAGAAATAGCAAATTAACTCAAGTTCTTCAAAGCTCTCTATGTACTAGACTATTCTTGACTGATATCTTATTAATTATATCATATTAAAGGTTTGAAATATCTTACTTTTTGTTAGGAGCGATATGTTCTACCTAATGGTTTTACTCTCCTTTTATTGCTCTTTCTATCTCAAATGCATATACTTCACCCTCTTCCCCATCGTTGCAGGTGGCCAAGCCAAGACTCTTATGTTTGTACAACTCAATCCTGATTTGGAATCTTACTTAGAAACCATAAGTACTCTGAAGTTTGCCGAGAGGGTTTCAGGTGTTGAGTTGGGAGCTGCACGAAGCAATAAGGAGGGTAGGGGTGTGAGAGAACTTATGGAACAGGTATTACTTGTCGTTTTTATTTTTCACAATTTATGTATTTTGGAGTCTCAGCATTTAAAGTTATGAAAAGGTTGATTTTTTTGTTTGGTTATTTCGTCGAAAAAGTGTAGTATGAGTTTTGCCCAATTTTTCCTCGATATATGTATGGGGATGTTCATATTATCTTTTTTCACGGACTGCTTGATTATCTTTTCTTCTCACACTCTTTTATCCGTTTCATTGTTCTAATTTAGGAGCTTTGGCTACAATCTAATTTATGTTTTTAATTCTCTGTAAGTGGCTGCAGTCAGCTACATTTTTCATCTCTAGCATTTCAATCCAAGAAAAAGACTTGTAGGTAATTGATCCGTATTGACCATGCAGGTAGCTTTTCTAAAGGATGCCATGGCAAAGAAGGACGAGGAAATAGGGCAGTTACGGCTACTAAAAGCTAACGGAAGTGGTGAACGACGTGGTATGGCCTCGCCAGGATACGGATCTGCCTCTCCGAGAAGGCATTCTCTTGGGGGTGCACGGGCAAGCCAAAGACTTTCAAGAGGGAAAACTTCTGTAGAGAGAGCTGCTTCAGACAATAGCTCGGAGTACAGTGATAAGCATTCTGAAGCTGGTTCTCAGCAATCAGTGGATGAACTTGGGAACCACAAAGAATTCTTCCGACAATCAAGACTTGCCGTGGTTGGTGACGGCCAAAATATTACCAATGACATTGGTTCAATCAATGATATAGCAGAAGGGATTAAAAATCTTAATGAGGATGTAGAGCTCTTGGGATTTGGAGATGCGGACTCAGAAGAGAGACTAAGTGATATATCTGATAGCGTTCTTTCAATGGGAACAGAAACGGACTCGATTAATAGTATTGTGGAGTACACTCTTTTCCCTGAAACTGCAAAACCACTCGTGGAGAGCATTGGGAGGTGTGCATTTCATACACCCTTCACATTCTTTTTCAACGGATTCATGTGCCTAAATTACATCAATTTATTTTCTTGTTAGAAATCTATAAAACATTAGTTCTCATTAGAAATGATTGACCCGATCATATTTTCAGAACATATGATTTTCTTTTATCTTCTCCAAACAGGAGAATTGGGCTCTAGTGACTTTTCTTCATTTTTGTAGTAACTTTATTTTCTTGAATTCTTCTGAAACTTTGGATTATGCACAATAGACTTGTTGAAAAGTTACACCATGCATTTTATTATTGATCTGCACGTTGGCGTGTAACATGCGAACTTATGTGCTTTCTTTATTGGTGGTGATTGCAGGCCCGATGTTCCCACTGAACTTCCAAGACCGCCTCGGAAGCAGATTCAACCCGGATCCTCTCAGTTGTCGTTGAGCAAGAGCTCATCAAAAATTTCAAGTACGAACCTCTTCCTGGTGTCCTCATCTTCCTATAGTGCAATTTCCCCCCCTTATTTCTTCTTCTTTGGTACCTCAGGTTCTAAAAAAACTCTGGTTAGCAGCTCATCTGCAGTTAAGGGCTCCAAACGATGGGTGTAAGCCACACAGCATGTCAAACCGGAGAACCTCAGCGACCAGTATGCGTAAATTAGAATGCTGGTTACTTCTCTTGTCTAACCGCGTCTCTTTAGGCATGAATATTATTGTACGGGTAGAGATTTATTGGGGACTTCATTCTTTGGAATGTAACTCTAGGTTATAGCATAATTCAACGGCGTCCAATTTACATTCGTGTAAATTTGCATCGCACGGTGCCTCTATAAACCTCTAACTTCCTTATTCAGCTAGTTTATTTGTAGCAGAATGAGTTGTTACCATCATTTAGCAAAGATTGTGTTGATGTTTGATCATAGATAGGTTCTGCTTATACTTTCAGGATGCTCCATCATAATGAGCATGTTTGTCTAAGTTTTAAAAAATGTAAAAAAGTTACTTTTGAGTAACTATTTATTTCCAATTATTTTAGAATTGTATTTAATTATAAGTAAACTTTTTAAGCTTACCCAAACATGCAAACTCGCTTTTCTTCAATCCCCCTTCCAACGATTTAATTGAAATACACCGGCATCATTGGTTGATACTTCATGTCCCCTAGTTTCTCGACTTGATATTATGCATCGCGTTCATGATACTTGTGCCCATCCCACTTTGAAGGTCTCAAATGTAACCTAAGACTTATAATTTACTAATGTTATAGACAGATATTAAATTCTAACGTACCAATATCAAAACTCGGGTGTAGATTGTTATGGTATATTTAATATGGTAGATTGAGTATTATTAAACAAGGAAAAAAAAGTGTTAATTTTGATATTGTACTGTGGTTGAGTTCTACCTCGTCCTTTAATCTTAAAAAGAAAAATCCTTAAAAAAAGTTGTAAAACAAACAAAACTTTATTTACGATTCTAGTCGAATTGTTTTATCCCCAAAATACATAAGAATAATACATTATTTTATTAGTTTACAAATCAAATCCCGAGAAGTCGTTGTAGTATAGTGGTGAGTATACCCGCCTGTCACGCGGGTGACCCGGGTTCGATCCCCGGCAACGGCGTTTTTTTTTTTTTGGGGCAAAATTACAAGCCCCCCTCAAGACACTTTGCTAATGGGATGCTGTGTTCCCTTAAAGCCATGCAACTACAGTGAAACGCCTGACTGAAGTTGTAGAAGACAACATAATTCTTTCTCCATTCTGCTTAATTTTGACTAACTATAATTCTTTTTCTACTCATTTTCGAAAAGAATATCTATATCTTTTGCCAATTCTTAGAATGAGTTATTGTTCTCCTCCGACCTCAACTGCACAAGTTAAGAACATGTTTTCAATTGAACAAAGTTATATGGCCGGCCGGTCGGTTGGCCGGTCTATCGCTGGCTTCATGTGACGATACTACAAAAGAAGCAAAGTATAATACTAACCAAAGACAGGGAAAAAAAAAGGGTTATATTCCTTTTATTGTGTATGTACAATGAGCAATATAAAAGTGTCCCAAATGACTCCCAAAAGGTACTTCTTTCTAATTAACTGGTCACTATTTCCTCCCTAACTTATCAATCTAACTATATAAGAAGTATAATTTTTTTGTTCAAGTTTTGGCTGTGAAAAATTGAATATACCAAGAAAAAAATAGTTTCCCGGCTGCAACGCATCGATCCCTGTATTTAGAGCAGCCCCCCAGAAAGAACTTGCCTGAATTTGATTTAAACATCAGCACCCTATGGTTGATGGATAGTTGAAAGTCCCTCAAGACAAAATTGGATCAATGCAGAGAAGATTAGTGTTGATCTCGACTTGTTCAAGAGCTACTATACTCGAGCAATTGGAGAGAAGGGTGGATTGAGTATGAAAGATGGCAAGACTTCTTCCATTTTCTTGTTAACTTCGCATTTATCTTCATCCACTATTGCATCTATCAAACCTTTGATTTCCTCCTCGGCGAACACCCTCATGGAATCACATTGCAACACTTGTTTGTTTCTCTCCTTCCCGACTGTGGTGGATGCTTCTGCAGTATGCAAAATAGCAACACAAATGGAGAATGCTTGTAGAGAAGATAACTGCGCATGAAAATCAACAGCATATTGCCCATCATCAGTTGCCCTCATGGTCAATGCTGGTATATCATCTCTTCGTCCCTGTACACAGATAGAGAAAATTTGTCACACACGAGAGCAAATACAAAGCAGCAGTTCCATTTTGAACAGATTTCCAAGTCATAGTAATACGAGAATTTTTGAAAGGCGTTAGAACGCCATACCTTGATAGAATGAGAATGTTAAAGATGTCGATACATGACTAAAAGAGAAAGCAGGCTATATCAATCAACGCATGGCCTTCCAATTTCTTATATCATTCTTGAAAACTGCAGAGATTAAGAAGCTGATACCTACCAAATGCACATGTAATAAATTCATATAATCATTCATTAACGTATTTTGCTTGTATTACTTGTCCTTCTAATTTTCCCTCCGATTTGTAATTGACCTTCCGTTAACCAAGCATCCATATTAACTCGGTGTTGAGTCACCTCGTCTAAAAGCTCAAGTTGTTAAAAAGGAGACAAATCACTTAATTCAAAATTATGTCCTCGACACGCCCCTTCAGATTCATTTTTGATTAAAGATGTTACATGAGCAAATTTTCATAAATTGGTGCGGGACTGCTCTGATAGCATGTCGAACAACCTTGTCTAAAAGATTGAGCCATTAGAGAAGGGTAAAACTTATTTATTATGTCTTCAACATGACAGACTCAAGTAAAGTTGCCACTAGATAATGAATGATCATGAAAAGCGTGATTGAGGGTGATTACCTGAACAAAAAGTTTCAATGGATGCTGATTATCCACCGGGTGATGGTCTACAGAAATTTGAATATTTGGATTGCCGAAAATATTAAGAGGGCACGCCATGTCCCAGCCCCCACAATCGCATCCTCCACCTAACCGCCATCTATCTAGTAATGGAGAAGGGCCTCGACTTTCACTACTTGGCAAACTGTGGTTTCCAGATGGAATCACAACATGCATTTTTCCAGGACTTGCAGAATCAGAAATACCCGCCTTTCGCTGCTCGAGCCCACCAACACCAACCAACTGAGAAATCAGCTTATCATTCTCTCGATCCTGACTCTTAAATTTCAGACTCTCTCTCTTCTCAAATGGAACTTGCATAATTATAGCTGCAATTTCAAGCTCCGGATGCAATTCCGCTGCCTGCAGAGGAAGTGGAGTTGATGAGTCTAAGTTACCACTGTCACGGGAATGCTTAAGTTGAAGTTTAGTCTTCTTGCTAGTCGAGACCTCATCCAGTTCAGGATTACCACAAGACAAAATTTCATCAGAAACTGGGGGTGCTTTAGCAACATCAGGTGATGAATTGGAACTATCTTGAGAGGAAATGCCTTTTATTGGATGTGCGATGTCATACAACACGAACTCTGTCACCATAGAGTTGTCATAAGCACCAGCACCTTTTAATTCGGTACATAGATAACACGAAACTTGCATCTGTCCCACCATAGACGATTCCTTATTGTCATTTCTCAATCCCCATCCACTAGCATTATTCTTTCTTCTACGGTGAAGTGAATGGAAGGTGTAGACCCAAGTTGAAGTATTATCTGGTTTCCATGTCTTTGCCACATAAACATCTTCTGGTGACTTAACTGAAAACTTAAAAAATGGTGCCCCAAGTTTATTTTCCAACTTGAGAACACCATGTAGGTGGGCTGGAGAACACTGCAAAACTGAAGAACAGTTCTCATTCTCTTGACACCGAGAATTGCATTCCAAATCGTTTGGTATTTCTGCAGAATCTTGCAGCAGGGATTTGTGCAATATTTTGTTAGGTTTTATCCTGATTATTGTTTCCCGACCAGCTTCATTAGCAGAACTTAACGGACTTCTCTGAGACTTGGCTTTAACAAATGGATCGAACATTTTTCTAACAGGATTAAACCGGACTTTTGGACTGCTGGCCCTCGAGCTATCACTCTCTGATCGAGCAGGAAAACGCGATAAAGCCAATTTTTTTGATAATGACTTGTGATAATTGACATCTTGCTCTCTTTCCCATAGGCTGTTTCCATAATTTACAGGACCAGTCACAGATTCACAAGTGATCTTGGGATCCTGAACCGGCTGGCCATCTGCATCAACAACAGATTGGTTTTCTCCGTAATCCAAACATAAAGAAGAAACATTGGGTGGGACACTTTTTCCTTGACAAGGACGGAAAGAGTCATTTAACGAATTCCGAGAACTCAACTCTATACAGGGATTGCTAACAGATGCTGTACTTCGCTCTGAGTTTAGCGACATTACTGAGGACCTTTTCCGTTCAACTGCTAAACTATCTTCGTCTGAGCTACACAAGGAATCAATAATTCCAAACGGCAATTCAGGTGCACTCCCTCGCGAGAACTCAATTTTTTTCCTTCCCTCAACAGGACCTATTTTTTTCGTCAGCCTCACTTCCCTAGAACTTTGATATACCGAACCCCTCCTCAGCACCTCATTGCCTTCTCGTTTGGCGCTTCTACGGGGAACGACTCTACAAGATGCACTACGGTAGCGATTAAAGCTAATCTCAGCAAAGTTTTCGTTGATAGTCCGTATATCATATCCACATTTCGGATTTCCATTTGATTTTCTATTTCCCACTTTCGACTGAAGTCTAGGAGCCTGTAGGACAGTTGTAGGACTTCCGTCTACAACACAATACTTGTCGAAGTCCAACTCCATTAGTCACTCCAGTATCATCGATTAATACACAGCCTAGAAATTATAGATATACTAAATCAAATCACGGGATTCCAAAATTAATTATGAACTAAATAGATGACAATCTTAAGTTTACAATATTGTACCAAGACGCCCATAAATAGTTACAGAGTAATAAAAATCAAGAGCTGGTGAATACAACATTATCAATAAACTAAAACATGATCGCAAGTATAATACTTATAAGCATAGCATTCAATTACAGGCACCGATATTATTTCAATGTATTATGAAGGCAGAAAATATTCCACTTGAACAAAAATTTATACTTTTAGCCACTACTTAGAATTGTTCATCTTTTTCAATTGTGTTTAAGATGAACAAAATAAAATTTCACTTGGAAAAGCATAAATCAGATTTAAATGAAAAAAACCCCAAAACCAAAATGAATAATTCTAATTTATTCTTGAACACAAAAGTGAGATCTACTACTAAATGAAGATCATACCCATTTCTTGAGATAAAAAAAAGCCTGAAATCCAGTTTTCCCTGCACTTTGTAGCTTTCAAGGATCTTACACAACAATGGCAAGAAATGCATGAACCCAACTAAAAATTTAGAACTTTTAACATAAAAAAACTCGTTCTCAATATCCAATATGATCCAAGAATTGAAAAATTAGAACTCTAATACTTCTAATAAGTGCCTAGTATGGCCCAGATAATAATTAAAAAAGAAAAAATCATTAAAGGCGACATTTTTGCAAACACTTGAACTCCAAGCCAAGAAAAAGCACAGTTGCTATGAAAATGGCCATACCCACCTTTAGATCTCAAGAAGTGAAGCAAAAGAAAATCTCAACAAACTGCTAGCAAAATCAATCATTTTCTCCAATCTCTTGATCTCAAAAGCTCATCTGAAGAAAGGCCCATTTCGCCATTTCGCACCAGTTATTCTACACAAAAAAATGCAGAAGCACAACTATTAAAGAAAAGCCACAATATGACTTGAAAACAAGTACTCAGAGTTGTCTCCTTCTCAGAGAATCAGGAAAAGTAGTGTCGATGGGGAAAAATAAAAAGAGTAGTCCACTAACAGTAAAGATATATATATAAACACAAAAAGAGAGTAAAAGATCATGCATGCCTTAATTTTTCTTTTCCATTTATTTTTATTTCTTGTACGTGTATGTGGGAAGTGGGGGCGGGGTAGGGTGGAGTGTAATCTCACAGTCTCAAGTGAGCAATGGATGGAGAGACAGCGAGCTGCAAAGCCACTTCTAATGTCCACTAAAAATGTTAGCTTCTTTGACTGATTATCATATGCTGTTGTTTTCCATGTTGGATGTGTACTTTGTTTTTATTATTCCTTGTTTGGCTTAGCTTCAAAATTTACTTATAAGTAAATAAGCAAGTTTTAAAATAATTTCTTCATGAGTTATTCATTTCTCTCATCTCTGAGATGGAAGAAGCAATTGGATTAGGGAAATGATGACGGCTCACATGATTTTGGAGTCAAGGTAACACTTTTTTACTCAGAAATTAAAATTTACTTGAAGAAAATTTCAAGCTACTTTTAAGCTTATCCAAACGCTGTCTTAGTGTGACCAACTTTAACAATACTTTATAAGACAATGTCCCAGGCACATTGAAGAATGATAAGCTGTCCTAAAAGACAGAACTGCCCCTTTAATACCACTTTATGGTCCTGAAACTAGGGGTATTTTGGAGATCTCAAGGTTGCCAACTAATGGAGGGTAACCCAATTATTAAACAAAGAATCCCTGCACAGATTATTATCTTATGTCATTGGGAAATGCAGGTTTAGTTTGATTAAAATTTCTTGTCTTTTGCCACTAATTTAATATTAGGTAGGATTCCCACATACATTTATGTGGTCTCCAATAATTTGATATATATTTAATGTTGTGTTCAATGCACATCTCCCTCCATAGGTGAAATTTACCTTGAGATCCATCATATTTGAATTTCGTATGTACAATCTAATCTCTTTAAATTAGTACGATCTTTTGCACAATAATTTATTAATTAGCAAAGAAAATTAATTTTCAGAATAACTACTTTAAAAAAAGATTTCATGTATATTTGTTAACATTCAAGAACATGAAATACCATCGATCAACTTCTAATTCATCACTTAATGTCTATTTATGCCATCTTAAATCTAGAGGAGGAGCAACAAATTGTCACGAGGAAATACTGGATGAAGCTCTAATAGCAATTGCATCGTTACAAGAACATTATGAAGAGGAAATTGAAAAGATATGGATGGTGATCCCTTTGTCTAGCAGAGATAAATTATGTATTATTCACTCGTGTATTTATCTTCTTAACCCTTTAGAATCTATTCATGTTGTAACTCAAAAGTTATTTTGAAATAAACAGTTCAACGTCAAGACAATCAGAAAGAAACACTACTCTAAATGGATCTCCAACGAACATCTCTCTGGATTAATTTTTTTATATTTTTCTATTAATTATTAGACAACTAAAATATTCAATTATGCATACAAAATGTGATTAGTTTCAAAAAAAAGAAATTTATTAAATGTAGGTTATTAATTATTGAAGTATTAATTTAGAGAGATCGGACTCTTACGTACTATGTTAAATATGTCCATAAGGGTGTATTTTGCTCATAGGACTGTATAGCTTTGTACAATACACCAGACAAATTTTTATTTTGTTTTTAATTTTTTGTAATGTCATTATAGATGTATCAAATAGTCTGATCCGGTTCAATTTGCATTTCATGGCAAGTTGGGTTATCCAAAAAAAATGTGAAGTCGTCTTGTATGGCATGCATGGATTGTATGGCTCGACCATGCTAAATAGTGTTAAGCGACCTAATTGAGTTTATATCTTTTGTTTAGTCCAATATATGTGTAATTCAACATAATGTTATCTCAAATATGTGAAGAATAATCGAAGTCGATTTATATTTTTAGTCGAGTATTATAACATTTTCTAACTATCTGTGTAATTATCCTACCAACATAACCTTTCATCAATGAAAAAATGGATAAGATTTTAATAATATTTATTGGTATCAATATAATCATTCCCATGGACAGTCCCTCCGCCAACTCTGGCACCCTCTCCATCACTCCGAGCACCCTCTTTGTCCCTTCGTATAGTCCCTCCATCACCTCGAACACATTCTCCATCATCTCGAACACCTTATCCGTCACCCCAACCTCTCTGCCCCCTCAACAACCCATTCCCCACTTCAGAGAACTGCATGCACCTTATGTGAAAGAATTTACATAGGCATGAATAGTGCAACTTCTCTGAAAGGAAATGGCACAATGATGCAACGCCCATTGGGCCTGTTGAAGTTGGCCCAACTGGATTATAAATTAAAGCCTAGCTTGTGTTTTTTAAATGGAGCAGAAAACGTGAGTTGAAGAGGTTGAAATCGTGTTTCTCACTTACTCAGATGAAATGAACACTGATGGAGTCACCACATGTCACCTCCAACACCATTGGATGGGCGACTGTAGAGTGACCCATTTAAAAGGCTAATTCTAGGGTTTGAGCTCATAACTTGGTCTTCGAGATTCTTCCTTTTCTCTCACTCTCTGCGCCGTTCTTCATGTTCTCTCTTCTCGTCACTGATGAAATCAAATAACCTCATTTGATTTCTTGTTTTCTTTCAATAGCTTGTAATCTTGAGTGATTTACCTTTATTGAGTACTGATTCTTGAGTGGATTGAGTTATCTGAGAAGAGAGTTCCTCTTATGATATATTTAGATCTTGTCTGAGTGTCGATCTGTGTAATATGTACCAGGCTTGTCTGAGTGTCGATCTTTGTAATCTTTACCTTGGGGTTTGATTCGAACGTTGTGGTGTTCAGTCTTGTGTGATTGAAACAAGAATTGTATGAACCTTTAGCTTGTGGGCTTTTACAATGAAGATAAGTTCATGTACTTAGTTTTCAGTCATCTCTTGAGTTGATTTCTTGTTCGAGTTTGCTGTTTAATGTTCTTAGGCTTTTAGTTTCTGATTGTTGTTATTTTTGGCTTACATTTATTTGTTTGATCTTAAGCTAATCTATTGATCTCCTCCCAACAGTGGTATCAGAGCGTTTGGAAGGAGCTCTTGACTGTGTAGTGCTCGATTCTTGATACTTATACTGCAAACTTGAAGCTACTCTGCGTTATTTGCTTGAAACCCTAATTAAAAGGGCTTGGTGAGATCTTTACAGTTGTGTTGGGTGTTCTGAATCTAGT